ATTTCCGAAAAAAATCGGATCGGAATCGGAAATATATATATAAATATATATATATATATATATATATATATATATATATATATATATATATATATTTCTGAATTGTTTTTATATTCATGTTTTGCAAGAACTATGTTTGTTTTAATAAACTGATATGTTGTTTTTACAAGTGATTTCATCTTATTGACCTTTGTTTTGGTTGTTGGATCATTAATCCAACGTTGGACTTATGTGTGAAATATTATGTGTTGCAAGACTGTCACGTAAAGTTAAGTCCGTTAAAGTGATCGACTAAGGTTTATCTGGATGGGCTTTAATGTGTCTAATAGGGTGTGGGACTTTAATGTGTAGAGAGGTTAGGGTAATTTTATTATAGTGATGGGCTAAAATAAAATTACAGAAGATAGCCCATTAGGTTATCTATATATATATTAGTCATGGTCCCCGGATCACATGTACGAATTCCATTCTCTATGTATTCCATCGACATAAAGAAAACGAAGAGAAGTCTAAAGGGTTATCGGGTTCGAATGTACATGACGATCTGGAAGATCTATGATCGTTATGATCGTTTCATATCAATTCCACCGGAGTAAGGTACGCTTCCAATTTATATTTATGCACAATATTCTTGATGATTCGGTTCATGGGATTTATTCAAATTTATTCCAACAAGTGGTATCAGAGCCGACCATGTTCGAATCATCTAGATTTTTTCTTATTCATTTTTTATTGATGCTCTGTGACATGAAATTGATTTTCACGGATTAAGTTTATTTCATGTTATCATGAAACCTATTTTCTGGATTTGGTTTTTTGGTTAGTAATGTTTCGTGTAAATATGTGATTAAGGTAAGTTGTATGATATATGTTTTCATGCTTAATTGAAGTTCATGGTTATCTAATTATTTATATTTTAGATTTGCTTAATTCTAAAATTTGGATCGACAGTCTGAAATTGAATTTAATGTGAAGAAATTTAATTGATTAATTTCGGATTGGCTTAAGAATCTCGATTTAACCTGATATTCGGATTGCTATTTAAAGAAAATTAAGGATTAATGTAAAATCTGAAATTTCTGTTGAATTAAGGTGCGGCGGTCGATCAGTTTTTTTCTTACTACGACCGTTCCGTCCAAAATCGCCACCAACTGCCAAAAACTCAACACCTCGCAATAAGGGGCGGCAGCAACTGGTATATGTTATATGGCCACGCCGCCCACCACCATCAAACCCATATACAAGAACCCCATTCAAGCAATAAAAGGAATTAAGAGGCCCTGCTATGAAGCCGGCGGCGGGGATAGTAACCGCGCTCCTCTTCGCGACGGGTTCTAGATACGCGATGATGCGAGGGTGATATGGTGGTCTAGCGGCGGTTTGATGGCAGAAGGTGTGTGACGGCGGTTTGTTTTCTGAATTAGGTTGATTAAGTTTTATGGGAAATTGCAATTTACCACGTTAAGGTTCATTGAAATTGCTATTAAGTCCCTCATTTATGTTATGCTAATTTGCACGGCCCCTTTGTGGATATGGATTAGGTCAAGGAATTTTGTTTTGGGCCACTTGAAATTTATGTTTTATGAAGAATCAAACGAAAAAAGTGAATTATTTTTTAATTCTCTTTAAGAACTTGTTTGGTCAATAAAGTGAGATTCAGTTTGAATTTCAATTTAGTTTCCTGAGGCATTTTATTTTGGGGAATTTTAGATTTCTAAAGTTTGGGTCTTTTTTAGATTGAAATTTGGATTAATTAGTCAAATTATGGATATGAATTATTATAATTCAATAGGTTTTGACTCATTAAAGTTTAATCGTTTGTTTGTCTATATATGTATGAGTTATCATGTATAACTCAATAAGCTTTGAAGCTTTGACCCAATCGATATTTGATACATAGACTCGTGACTTTATTATAAATTTGAGTCTTCATTGTTTTATGAAAATTCATAAGAATTTGGATTTATTTGTCCGAAATTTATTGTTGGCTTTAATCTAATAAGATTGAATTTGTGAGCTCATTTTATTTTAAGCTCAAATCCAAATGAATATGAATTTTACGATTTATAGTTTAGGCTCATCTTTGGATTATAAAGTGAAGATTTCTAGTCGATTTTATTTTGACTTTAAATCTAAATAACGTGGAATTTGGGTTCATAAGGTAATTTAATTGGGCCTTTGACTAAAGATATTTTAGAGAAAGTCTATTGGCTTACATTCAGTTAAAATTCAAATATTGGTTTGGTTTATATGTTTTGATATGAATTAAGAGAAGCAGCATCTTGCCTAAGTGAGCTCTCATGTGAAACTTAATTTATTTTAAAATACAAAAGGTTTTGTGCATGTAATAATGTGGGTATTGTGTCGCCCCTAAGGAAGGCCAATACTTTGCTGAATTGCATGTGCATATTGTGGTGGTAAACGCGTGGCGATTATTTGGTGTTTTGCATGTGAATAATAGTTTGGCCCTACGGTAGAATTATTATTTGATGTGCTCTTATTGTCAGTGTTTGATTACAACACCAAGATATCACTTACAGGTTAATATCATTGTCCAAAGATAAGTTATTAATGGAGTGTCCGATATCTTGAGATGGAATATACCTTTATTTGAATTTGTGGTTGATATATAATAAATATGTGACGGATATTAGAATTTCATGTGAACTGTAAATTGGCCCTAAGGTAGATTTATTGTTTGACGCGATAGTTTACCGTTAATATTTATTTATAAAAAGTTGCCGCTTAAAAGTTAACGAGTAGTCCATAACGTTATGTTAACATTGGCCTAGGTATTTTATGATAAATGAACCCAATTCCGTTTAATTATGTCATACATACATAGATTCTATTTGATATTTTTTATGACATAATAGTAGCTATGAGCGTGTCTTCTTGTTTATGTTCTCTATTTAGTTTATGCTTCCGTTTACCTGTCAATGTTAATTTTGGTTCTTGTGCTTTATAGCACAATTTACTTATTATTTAGTGTGCATAAATCTTGATTTTACCTTTTAAATAGAACGACCAGCTAGTTTTTTCGGTTAAAAGTTTCCTTAATGTTAAGATAAAAGGGACTTAAAGAATATGATCGTTCTAATTATAAGTATTAAGATCATTTGGTGCACCATTTAAGAAATCTTTAGGGGCATCAAGATTGATAGGGCAAACACTAGAATATTTCTTAAGGCACTTTTGATACGTTTTATTATTAAAATGAGAAGTTTGAATCAAGTATAGTTTTGATTAATCTTTGTTTCATCTATATATAATATAAAAAGATGATGTATGCCCTCAATGATTGACATGTGTCAAATGATGATGTCATTTATCAAAATTGTTTAGTTGGAGTTCAATTGATGAGGTGGATTCTTCAATTGATGAGTTGTCAATTTTATTTTGGTATGTATTTAAGTTATTTCCTATTTAATATTTATACACTCATTTAAACAATTACCACGTGTATATATATTATTTCCAATGTTAATATTTTATAAATTCGAAATAAAAAATCTTATTTACATTTCCAGTATTTCAAAATATATTTTATTGAAGAAATTCATGATACTCAATTTTTTTATAAATATTCAAATAATTTTCAGAAAAATATATTTTTTTTAATATTCAAATATTAAAATAAAGGAATACATTTTTTTATTAATTTTCAATATTTTGGAATATTCGAATATCCATTCACTAAAAAAAATTATTAACGAAAATATTTTATTTTTATATTGTATTATTGTTAAATAAATATACAATATATTTTGTTAATAATAATTTGAAACTGTGTATTTCTATTATATGTTCAACAATTATACTGGATTAATTTATAAAATTTGTTTTTTTTTTTATTAATACATTATAATATTAAGACGATGATATATATATATATATATATATATATATATATAATATAAAAAGAGGATTTATAGCCTAAATGATTTTTTTAGTGCATTTGAATAAATTTATAATTCTTATATGTTTTTATATAATATTTTATTTAATTTTGTAATGTTAATTTCTATATTAACTTTTTTCAAATATTTAAATATTATTGAAAAAATATCGTTAAGCGTATTATAAACAGCCGTGTGCAAAATATTGTAATTAAAATTATAAATCAGATATAACTACAATTATAGGAAGAATAGAAAAGGAGAAGAAGAGAAATAATAATATTACGTAATAGAATAGAAACCCCCATTATGTTATGGGTTGATTACATGGAATATATATAGAGAAATATTGCAAGGTAATAGAGTTTGACTGCGTAACTAAATCCTAATTAATCTAGGTAACCGAATCATACTAGAATCCTAACATTACAAGAGTTCTATAATATAATATTCTCTAACAACAATTGATATAATATTAATTAATATATATTATGCAATATATAATTCTTGTTAGTAAGTAAATTATAATATTGTAAAGACATATGTTTTGAAAATTTCAGAAAATTCAAATATAATTTAAAATTTTCAATCCGTATTAAAGTCAAGGAACCGGATGTGCGTTGAATTTATAAATCATTTTCTTATATATTTGTATTATCTGAATCATGTATTTATATGGACATATATCAATCACGTATCTAATCGAACGTGCATTGATTTTGCCAATCATTTTTAAATAAATTTATATCATATCAATAATATATTTATATGGACATATATATATATCATCCATTCACATTTTTATCAATTAATTAAAAGTCATAAATATCCATAATATTGATAAGCCTTATTGGTTGATTGGATTATTGTCGTTAATTGCATATTGATTTATCAATGGAAAAGATTGACTGCATAAATACATTTTATTTTCCTTCCTTAATAATCGTGTGCAACTTAATGTATATTTTTTTTTTGGTAATGAAAAACTTAATATATGTGCGTATTAGTGTATGTACATTTTTTAGAGGAGAGTTTGTGTACATTGAGTAATCATATTAAAGTGTGATAATATTAAAGTATATTATCTAGAATAAAAAAAAATATTAAAATATGTTGAGTAATCATATTAAAATGTGGTAAATCCATTCCTTAATATATGTGCGTATTTGTTTGTGTATATGAAAATGTGCAAATTTCATAAACCAATAAAAGAAAAAATGTGTTGATCCATTTTGATGATGCTAGAAATAGATCACCTTAAGTAATTGAACTGTGAGAGCAGAGTGGATCACCTTGAGTAATTGAACTGTGACAGCTTGTGACAGCTACTGCCAAAATTGGGCAGTAGCTGTCTGATTCTCGCATGGCCGTGTGAGATCATAGTGTTTTTTCTCGCGCGGCCGTGCGCAAAGTGAAACTTGGGCAATAGCTTTTTCCGATTTCCATACGGCCGTATTCAATTGTGGCTTTGTTTTGGGACGGCCGTGTGGTACTCCAAATTGCACTTTTACTCCTGAAAAAAAAAATAAAAAATATGCTTAAATTGTTAGCTTGCATCAACATTTCCGGATGAATCCGTTGCTAATAACTTGTACAAAGACATACATTTAGCTAAGACGCATTAAATAAACATGTATATGTATGTGTGAGAGAAGGAGCTAGAAACTGGAGAAACAATGATATAAAGTCATCTCGCTAATCTTCGATTTATTCCAAAACCTTCCTGCAGATAAATCTACTAACTCTCGTGGATACAATCAACCATGGTATGATTCCAACCTGCACAGGCATATAATTAAGGCAGTCAAAATCGGGATTTTAAGTGAAATCGGAGAGGGGTAGTAAAATCGGAAACGTAAAATCGGATCGTAAAATCGTATGATTTTACATGTATTGTAAAATAAATATATTTAGTACTTACTACTTAGAAAACATCCGTAACACAAATAAAATAAGTCATAATATACATAAAATATGTCCTAACAAATATAAAACATCCCAACATTAACAAAACATGTTTTAACATTAGGAGATAACTGAAACTGACACTCACAGCCACTGGATGTTTTTTTAGCAGAAGAGAAGAATTTTCTTCTCGTCGTGATATATTGTTATTCTAGGGCAAATTAGGGCTGCTTTATATATTCTGGATTATTTGGTAATTGGCTAAATTTTTTTAGTTAAAAAACTGAATTTATGAGACTAGAATCCAAAATTTCAGCCAAATTCTTGACAAAAACCAAAATCGCCAAAAATCGCACTAAAATCGCGTTTTTAACGATTTTGAACACGATTTTAAGGCACTTGCGATTTTAGTGCGATCTTACTCCTTTTCAGTGTGTAAAATCATAAAGTCTTACAATTTTACGATTTAGATCTCTATTTTGACTACATTGCATATAATATCTATGTCTTAGTTTTCAACAAAAAATCCAAAGAAACGAAAAGTTGAAGTACATATATTATTACCACAACATTGTCTTTCAAATATGCTCCCGATCTCCAAGAAAGCAGCTTACCTGCAAAAATAAGTGGACTATATATAAATATGAAGCTTAATGCAATTTCAAATATGCATTTACTGGAATGATGGAAGTGGAATTTAATATACAGCAAAAACCGAGATCTAATAATGGGTAGACGAAAACAAGTACCAAAGGGTTGCACGAGTTGATCAGATATTGTAGTGATAGGTATCTTCCACAACCATAATATCAGCACAACGTAAGTAACAACCTGTCCAAAAAAAAAAATACAGCTTACTAACTTCCACAATAAAAAATCAAATACGATCCTCTCAAGCATTTAAATAAATAACCTTTGATATTGTTAAGAGCTTCTCGTATGTGCCAAATGACAATTTTACATCCTTGTCGTGCATTTCTTGATCTGCGTGAAACATCAGCAAAACTTAGAAAAATGAGACAATTGTTTCTAACACGTAAAAAAAAGCACTCTAAATAACGATTCCCGCGAATATCGTTGCGCTTAAATAAAAAACAGAATTTCGTACTTTTTGCAAGTTCCTTCTCCTTCGCTGCTGCCACTCTTCTTAGTTTTGCAGCTTGTGCAAATGTTGAAGGTCTGAAAAATCAACAAAGTAAAAATTGATTCTTCAATAAATAACCAGAGGTCCGAAACGATTAATGTTAAGCGCTAAGTTTCAATTTCGATAATCCACTCGGCATTAATAGCTTTTTCCGGTCGAAATAAATAAATAAATTAACGATATAAAACTATATAGAATAACTTCCAACATCAAACACAGGTAGATTAAATCAGATTTTTTGTTCTTTTTTTATCTAATACATCAAAATCAAACGAAAAAAATTACGGTAATTAAATATAATCGCACTCACTGCGTCAAAGAACTAGCCTCCTTCAAAAGCTGCTTAATTTCTGCTCGCAATTGAACGTCCAATTCACTCATCGATCCTTTCTTCACAATTTAAAAGAGAAAAACAGAAGGTGTTTTAAATTTCTGATAAATGTCGATATTCACATCGAGAAAAAAAAAACACAAATTATAATAAAAAAAAAAAAAAAAAAAAAAAACACCTTCTGTTTGTGGAATTCGAGGTATTTGGAGACGAAGTGGAGAGAGAAAACGAGGGTGAAAATCGCCGGAGCTGCCAATGACTTGCCGTGCTCCGTTAGGTTTTCTTCCATCATCTTCTTCTTCTGTTCTTCCTTTTTCCGTTTCAATTTCTTCCCCAAAAAATAAAATTAAAAAATTGATTGTTATTTTTTCTCCGAGAATTTCAGAAGAGAAAGAGAGAGATGAAGATGGAGATTGGAACAGGGAATCCAAATTTAGGAATTCTGTGAGGAGCACTGTTATTAGGACCGGACGGGCCGGCCGGACCGGTCCGACCGTGACCCGCAGCAAAAGTGGTCCGATCTGATGGCTAAGAGCATCTTCAAAGGTAATAGCTAAAATGTGAGTTGGTATATCTATTAGAGCATCTCCAACCATGTAGGTTTTGGAGAGGTAAAAGCTAAATTATAAATATTTTACCATCTCCAACCTACAAAACTTACTCCAATGGAGAGAGCTATAATTTAGCTGGCTGCTAAATTCAATGACCCAGCTGGTATATATACCAGTTAACTATTCACATATGGTATCCAATATATTATTAAAATAATGCAGTCCCACCCCCACATTTTCACTATTCACGTGTAGTCAGCCTTTTTTTCCAAAGCCAAAGTTTACATTTTTTAAGTTTATTTAATTCACTGTGTTTTTTTTTTTTTTATCTAATACTTTACCCGGTAATAATAATAATAATAATAATAATAATAATAATAATAATAATAATAATAATAATAATAATAATAATAATTATTATTATTATTATTATTATTATAATAATAATTATAATAATAATAATTATTATTATTATTATTATTATTATTATTATTATTATTATTATTATTATTATTATTATTAATTTATGTAAATTTTATTATATAGATTTATTGAAAGAATACCTATTATTTTGCATATTATATATAAGATATCAAATATATTAATTGAAAATACTATTATAATCAAATAGTAAAAAGTAATAAAATATAATAAAATGCTAAAATATAGATGATATGGTTGGAGCAAGATAGTAAAAACTGAGCTGCTATAACACTGTTCATCAGCTATTATAGATATAGCATTTCAATTTTTAGCCTCTAACCTTGGAGATGCCCTTATAGCTAGTCAATAGTGTTTATACCATGTGTGTTTTACAATTTTATATTATTATATTATTTTTTGAATTATTTTATTATCATGTATATGTACTGTCAGTATTTTATGATATAAAAAAGGGAAAGAACTTGAACAGTAAAACATAGTGGCCATTATTTTAATATTTTCTTGTTTAGCATTTGTGAATACCCACCAGCTATACATAGCAGCTATAAACCAGAATTTAGCTTGCTAGCTAAAATATACATGTCCCGTTCGAGTGGATTTTTTGCTTATAAAATGCTATAACCTTCTTTTTTTAGCTGATAGTAGGTGAAATTGTGAATGATTGGAGATGCCCTAAGTCGGCCAAATCACAAAAATCCGGTTCGACCGGTGAAAGCCGGCTAAACCGGACTCCGGTTTTCATCTAAAACACTTCGTCTGTGGCTATTGGCGGCGGGATTTGGGTGAAATTCACCGGGATGGCCGGATCTAGGTGGAGCAGGCGGTGGGTGGCCGGAATTCCACATAACAGGCGGTGGTTGGCCGGAATTCGACGGAAAGAAGAAGATGGAAAAGAAGAAAAATAAATGAAAAGAAAGGAGAGAGAGGAAGTAGAAAATTTGTGGGGAAGAAAGAGAGAAAGTGATGAAGATGAATGGGTAGGTGACGGAGAAGAAAAGGTGGAGAGAAAGAGAGAGGAGAGAGAAGATAGAAGAGAAAAATAAGAATAAAAAATATAAATGAAAAAAGGGTGTTGGGACTTGGGATAATAAAGAAAGAGAATATATTATATATAAAAAATAGGGTAAATAGCACTTAATCCTTGTGGTTTGGATATTTTGCACACGACTCCTTATGGTATGAAATTAGACACATAACCTCTTGTGGTTTTGATATTTTTCACATGACCCCTTTATGGTATGAAATTAAGAACATAACCCCTTAAATAGAAAACTAAAAAAGATTAAATTATCCCTAAAGTTTAACCAAATTGCAACCATATCAACTGTTCGTTGGTTACTCTATCCAGTCAAAATTTCTTGTTTTAATTTAAAAATAACTATTCTATAAATTGAAAAACTTAATCTATTTTTTTGTAAAATGAAAAATATAATATACTATTGTGTTTTTTTTAATTTTATAGACAAAAGTTATATAATACTAATTATTGTACAATTGAGAATTTATTCCATTTTAGAAACCAATATGAAACTCTCATATGCTATAAATTAAATATAAAAGGACTAAACTCGATATAAAATGATAAACTATCAATTTTTTTATTCAATTATAATTTGATAAAATAATTATATATATTTCAAAGCTTTAATATTATTATTAATTATGATTATTATTTACTATTTTCTATATAATATATTATATTATAACTGTTATCGAATTTTAAGTTTTTAAGAAACAAATTCTTTATTCGTTAGGGGTAATTAATCTTTTCTAATTTTCTATTTAATAGGGTTATGTGTCTAATTTCATACCATAAGGAATCATGTGGAAAATATCAAAATCACAAGGGGGTTATGTGCCTAAATTCATACCATAAGAGTGTCTTGCGCAAAATGTCAAAACCACAAGGGGGTTGGTTATGTGCCGAATTTCATACCATAAGGGGGTCATGTCCAAAATGTACAAACCACAAGGGGGTTGAGTGTCATTTACTCTACAAAATATGGGCGAATGGGAAATAGTCCATATGACAAGGGGGACTTAAATGCACATTGGTCCACAAGAAAAACAGTTTTCAAATAAACTTATCTCCATGTCTTCAGTCTAAAATATCCTCCATAATATAATTTTTATCAATTTCATCCATTATACTCTAACTTCCTTAATATTACACATTGACCCTGAATTTAAACAAATATATCACATTAATCCCCATTTCAATAATTTTATGATCTTTTTTTCAAAAAATCATTTTTTTTTCCAGCCAAATTCGGCCGTTGACCGGGCGGTTCTCCGCCGTTGACTTTTTTTTTCTGAAATTTTTTTCTAGCCGGTCAACCGTTGTTGACTGCCGGTCTGCGCCGTTGAATTTTTTTTTGTTTGATATTTTTTTTTGAAATTTTGTTTTTTTCTTAAAAATATTTATTTTAATTAATATTAGTATATTGGTAACTAAATTACTGTCTCAGACAGTAATATTAGATTATATTTTTCCGAACAGTAATATTACTAATATTTATTGTCCCAAACAGTAATATTATTGCATGATATAGTAATATTACGGTCGGAGATAGTAATATTACAGTCGAAAACAGCAAAAATGCAGGCCAAGACGATAAAATTAATTAATACAGTAACATTACTATCTCAGACAATTAAATTACTGTTAGAGACAGTAATTTAGCAGCCAAGATAATAATATTAATTTAAGTAATTTTGTTTAAGAGAAAAAAAAGTCAATTAACTGTTAAATTACTGTCTTCGACGGTTAAATAACTGTCGGAGAAAGTAATTTAGCAGCCAATACAATAATATTAATTAAAATATTTTTTTTAAAGAAAAAAGAAGAAGACAATTAACAGTTAAATTATTGTCTCCGACAGTTAAATAACTGCTGGAGACAGTAATTTAGCAGACAAGACAGTAATATTAATTAAAATATTGTTTTTAAGAAAAAACAAAAGGGTAAATAACACTTAATCCCCTTGTGGTTTGAACATTTTGCACATGAACCCCTTGTGGTATGAAATTAGGCACTTAACCCCCTTGTGGTTTTGATATTTTGCACATGACCCCCTTATAGTATGAAATTAGGCACATAACCCCCTTGTGGTTTTAACATTTTGCACATGACCCCCTTATGGTATGAAATTAGCACATAAACCCCTTGGATAGAAAAGGGGAAAAGACTAAATTACCCCTATCAATTGTTTTAATTTAAAAATAATTATTCTATAAAATGAAAAGCTTAATGTGTTGTTTTGTAAAATGAGAAATATAATATAGTATTGTTTTTTTTTTTTTTGAATTTTACCGCACATATTTTTGTTATAATTTAATTTTCATTTCAACTTTGAAGAAATATTTTTTTTTAGATTTTTTCGAAAGAATAAAAAAAATAAAGACTGTTTTTAAAAAAAATTAAAGTTTGATAACTGCTATAATATAATATATTATATAGAAAATAGTAATATAATAATTATAATTAATGATAATATTAAAGATTTTCAAATTGATTTCTAAAATTGAATAAACTTTAGGGGTAATTTAGTCTTTTCCAGTTTTCTATACAAGGGGGTTATGTGCCTAATTTCATACCATAAGGGGGTCATGTGCAAAATGTCAAAATCATAAGGGGGTTATGCGTTTTTCATACCAGAAAGGGGGTCATGTGCAAAATGTTCAAACCACAAGGGGGTTAAGTGCTATTTACCCAAAACAAAATTATAAAAAAAAAGGAAAAAAAAAAAGTCAACGCCGGAGACCCGGCCGTCAATGGCGGTTGACCTACTGGAAAAAAAATTCAGGAAAAAAAAAGTTTCAAAAAAGAAAAGAAAAAATTAACGCTGGAGACCAACGGTCTCCGGTGGCGGCTGGTCAAAATTGAAATTAGGTTAAAATTGGTTAATTGGTGATGCGGTGTAAACCATGAATTTGAAGTTGAATTGGATTTGAAGGAATTGGGTGTAATTTTGGTATATATAAAAGGGTTTCCTTATTTGCAAATAAGTTTGAATGAGATGGAAATATTTGAAAGACAAAAAAGTTGAATGTCTGTTTTTTAATTAAGTGCCCTTGTCATAGGCCTATTTGCCATTTGCCCAAAAAATAAATAATAAAAGTAAAGCGAGAGTGAAACATAAAAAATCTAAATTTAAAATATTAAAATTAATAAAATAATTAAAATAATAAAAAAAAACTCGAGTTGAACCGGTCCAACTATGATCCAAATGCCTATTTGGTTTTGTGTCCGGTCGGGTTCCAAAAACATTGGTGAGGAGGAAGAAAAGGTTAAATGAAGCTCCTTTAGTTTAGATGAATCCATAATTAATTATTTTTTCACTTACTATAATATTTATATAATAATATTAATAAATTAATTTGATTAAAA